CCCGGCCGGCAGCGGCCAACGCTCGCCTGCCCCCGCCCCGCCCCGGGGGTCGCCGAACGGGACCGGCGCTTCCCCCGCCCCGGCCGCCCCTCGGGCCCTTCCTGCCGGGTCTGCGCGGGTCCCTCACACCCCCGCGGCGTGACACACGGGGCCTGTGGGCTATTGCAGTAAGAATAAAAAAGAGAGGGGGAAAAACAAACCAAAAACCTCCCACTGGTTTTCATTCCTTGTGAGCCGAACAGGTCCAAAGTGTTCCCGGGATTGCTCCCAAGCTGACCGAGTGTCTCCCTTGTACCTTTCCAGCAGGGTGTAAGACACGGACATTTCATGACCCCCTCTGCATCCCGCAAAATATTTCGGAAGCTCAAATCCTTCTCTCGTTTCTTTCTTTATTTTTAATTTTTTTTAAGAAGCACAGCCTAACCAGATTCCTTCTGGGATCCTTTGCAGCCTGTGAAACCAGAGCACGCCTAAATTTCCTCATGCTTAGACTTGTTTTTCTTACTCAAATAGACATCACCAAATAAACTCAGATTAGGTAACAGCAAAGGGCAGTCATGTGGTTGCTGTCGGGGCAAAATAATGGACCGAGAGGGAGTGAAAATGCAAAATAAAGTTTCTTAAAAAGTTTTATTGCGCTGGGTTTCTAGGCAGGTTATGAGGACGTAAAGCATCGGAAACAAAGAGTTCATATCTCTGCAGAAATTTAAAAATTTCCTGTACTGATGATACTTTGAAAGCTGCTTTTGTAATTACATTTGTCACGGTGCCATTAGATGGTTCTTACTAAATGAGTGCTGGTAGGGGCTGAAAATCAAGTTGTAAGTTTTTTGGAAAGATGCTTACTGGATCCAAGATTGAGCCTGTCTGTCCTGGGTGCCCTGAAAAGATATTGTGGGGATATCACTAACTCTGTAAAGCAGCAAGTTCCATTTGGGCTGGAGCTCCAGGTTAAGGGTAAACTTATCTCATAAATGCTTTCCATTCACAACACACAGAGCCATAAAATGTCAATGGATGGCGCACAGAGACCAAGGGTTGAATATAAGCGGACAAGGTTCTTTGGGTAAATTGGATTATCTTTTATTAGACCAACCCAAACAGTTGAAAAAATTCTTCTTTGTAAGCTTTTGGGTTTAAATGCCCTTAGAATATGGGATTTCTGTAGTTGCTACACCCTCATTTAATAGTTCTCATTAGGTTTTTCTTAATGGAAGAACACTCTTCTTTTCTGCTCTTCCCTATCGTCCTGTCCATTTCTTTCCTGCTTCCTTATGCCTTTGTCTAGGCAGGGGAAATAGATCATGCAATGGGGTTTTTTTGGTTGTTTTAAAACAAGTTAACTTATGTCTTGACATGGTTAAACTTCAGTTCATGTACTGATGTCAAGCTGTGGCCATCCCAGGATAAGGGGGAGTACTGTGTAGCCTATGATCACTTGCCATCTAGCATCTAGTTTAAGGTGTCAAACACTTTCCACCAAATATGAAGTGGTATTTGAAATAACTAACATGTTTTTTGGGGGGAAAAACACCTCCTTTTCTTATCCATGCAACACTAATTAGATTTATGCAGACAGAGTGTTCATTCTGTCTACAATTGCACTAGCTGTTTTCTGAAACTAACCATTATCTAAGGTTCTCAAAAACTGGGGAGGCAATTCTGCATCAGTTCACACTCTGTATCTGAAAGGTTAGTTTTGCAGTCATAAATATGAGAGCTTTTTTAATGCAAACTTGTATTCTGTTGAATTTAAGTAAATTTTAGGCATGTAAATAAATCGAGTAGGCTTGATTTGACTGGTAAGTCGCATGTATGTGCAGTGAACACCCCCCCACAGTTGTCTTTTCATATGCTTCAAATTACCACATATGCCTAAGACTTAGTTGGGTATTGTTGCATATTTGCATAAATTACAAAATTGGAAATGATCTAGTAGCAAAGTTACTTTTACATGGCTAGCAGCAGTAAGGGAGATAAGATACTTCTCACTTTGGTATTCTTTTTTTTTTTTTATGAAGAGTCATTATGCCAGTATCCGGTGCATATAAGACTCAGTAGGGCTAATGTTTGGGAAAGAGAATTTCCTGTTGAGAACTTATTTCACCTTAAAGGGAAATAACCTCATAATTTTGTAATACTAGGGTTTTGCAGTGAGATGGCAAAACTTGCAGATGACAGTTATTTAGATTTATCAAGACTGGTGGGTCAGTGGGGAATGCAGTTAGAGGAACAAAGGATGGCAGAATAAAGTCAGGATTGATAATTGCAAAATATTGCATGGTGGAAGGAACAGTTTAAACTATCCATATGTTTTGCTTTGCTCAGTTGTAACAGTTCAGGAAAAAGATCTAGGTATCATTGTGGACAGCACAGTGAAAACTTTCTCAGTTTTTAGTGACAGCTGAAAAAACTAACATATTGGAATGCATGAGAAATGGAATGGAAATAGTATTTTAAAATCCTGTCCCAAAAAGAAAAATAATAGATGTACAATGAAAATGATCATGAGGTATGGAAGATCATATAAAGAAAGCCTAGAAAGACTGAGATTGATTAGTACAGTGATGACCAATAAAGAAAGAATTTGTTAGACTTGAGAAATGAAAATTATGAACGGTATAAAGGAAGTCATTTGGGAAAAAGAAGTCCTTTTTCTCATAATGCAAGAACCTAAGTAGGCTCAATGAAATAGAAATTCTGCATATTTTAAAACCAGTTAAAATAAACATTGCATAATTAATCAGTGGAACTTATTGTTTCAAGATATTCCTGATGCCAAGACATTAGCAACATAAAAAAGATGATGTATTTAAATGTATAATGATAATATCTATAGCTACATTGGATGGGTTGCTTTGATTTGAAAGAAGTCTAACATGGGCATGGGCATAGCTAACCTCTAATGAGGTGGCTAGGTGAAAATTCAACAATGAGTAGATGATTTGTAGTTGTTCATTTGGAACGTGTTGTATGTTGCTTTAGAGCCGTGGTGCTCACCTCTCCAGCCCTATTGGCTGGATGAGTAGCGTGGGGCTGGTCCAGGGGCCGGATCTAGCATGGGGTCAGCCCAGGGGGTTGGTTCGTGGATAGGACCTGGTGCTGGCCTGACCCAGGTGCAGGATCCAGCCACAGGGCAACTGCACTGGACCATATTATCTGCTCTGCCAGGGCTCCCCACAGATCTGGAGATTTGGTGGCAGGGGAGTGGTGGCAGCACTAATTGTCATAGCTCTGGGAGCAATTAAGGCTACTACTGCTCTCCTGTTGCTAAATTTCCATACCTATGAGGTGCTAGATAGGCCAAATGACATAGGTCCACAGGCCCGAGGTTGAGCACCAATGCTTTAGAGTATTTGGTATTGGCTTTTATTTTGGAAATAGGATACCACATAACAATAATATTGGTACAGTCCAGAATGGCAATTTTGGCTGTCATAGTGTGTTGTGTATTAGATACTGAAAAGGGATTTTTTCTAAAGGACTGACTGACTTTAGACATTCTCTCTCTCCCCCTCCCCCTTCCCTCCTTATTTTCTCAGCTCAGGATCTTTTTATTTACCCTGTACATTGAGCTTAGAATATTGGGAGATGGCATAAAATTTTGCAGTATTTGGAGCATTTATTTTCAGTTCTGTCCTTCAGTAAGTTTAATTTCCATAGTATCTTAAACCTTCTTAGAGGAATTTGTTACTTGAAATAAATTTCCTTTTTGGAAATGCCCAACAATAAAACATATTGGATGTCAATCAGGATGGGTAGGGATGTCTGGCTGTGTTTCGTTTTAACAAAATAATCACTTCCCCAATCAGGTTCTATATTCATAGAAAGTCTCAACATAAGAATTGGATACACATTTTTAAACAAATCTGGCTCATAATGAATCCATTTTACTTATTTTGTAAACAGAAAGGAG